ATTGGTTTCCCAGTCTGAAACAATTCTTCTGTTTAGTGCTTATGGTTAGGAAGCACTTACCAGGGCCAGAATTTGTGTAACAGAGGTGGTGGTAGTAGTACATCTGCAATGAACTGAGGTGAGATCTTGGTGTGATTTCTCAGTTCTTCCCTACAGAAGACCCTGTTTGATGGACTTCTTAGCAGAGAGCAGAAGAAAACATTCATTACATTTTTCAAAAATATGGTGAGATCAGACTGTCTCCTGTGTTTCATGATCACTGGTTTGTAATCCCTTAGAGAATACTCCAAGTGAACTGGTAACAGTAACTGAAATACAAAACAGTAAGAGAATTACCATCTGCAGTGTGTCTGCAGAGGTGCACTGAAGGTGTTGGGTTTCTTCATAAAGGAAAGGATGCTCCTTTACCAGTATCCCCACCCCCATTCTAAACAAAGGTACTATCTGAGTGACTTAGAAAAACGGAGCCCTTTTTCTACACTGAACTGGTTTTGCTGTCTAATAGGGCCCAGAGTGACTTGTGCCTTGAATGTTAAATGTCTTTGCAGTGCTAAAGGAGAATTTGGACTGCATTTGTGATTCCTTTTTTTCTCTGTATCAGGACTTGCATTTTAGGGAAAGATGCAATCCTGTAATTAGAAAGCTAAGAATGAGTGAGGAGGCAAGCAGAAGTAACCACTGATTACATGTGAATATCAGTAAATAGGATGGTTGAGACACTTTTTATTTGTGGCATCCTGATAAATGAGCCTTGGGTAGTTGCCAGCCAAATTTTTGCCTGTCTTAGGAAAGGAAATAATTACAGCTTTTGTCACATCTCTAGCAGGTCCTGATAACCAAGTTACTTTTGAAATTTTATTTTTTGTTTGTTTGTTTGTTTTGTACATTTACTTTTTAATTAGCTTATTTTGTACACTGATTGGGCCATATCTTGATGACTCCTTTAATGAGTTTTAGGGATTTATCATAGTAAGTTGAACTACATAACTGTTTTCTGTATTTGTTACTTTTTTATTCTCTATCTGCAGCTTTCTGCAGTCATTGAATAACTGCTAAGTGTTATCAGGCTGAGAAAAGACCTAACCTGTTATTTATATCTAATATATTAATAATGTACCATGTGTTTTCTAGCTGAGAGCTGTGTAATTTTATTTTTTATATATTTAAATATAGCTTGCAAACACTGAAATATTTATGGTTTGGCTCTTGATGAGGAGAGAATAATTTTTGTCACTCTCTTTCCTTTCCTTACAGGGTATAAAAATGATAATTTGTCTTTATGGGCCATTTTTGGATCCATCTAGTCCTGTGTGCAGTAGTTCATTGCATGGTTTTTTTTCTAGTTCACCAAATGGAGATGGAATCTCCAGTCTCCAATCTGAAGAATACAGAGGCCATGACTTAAATTTCTTTGGAACTGTGGAATTTTCCTATTTAAAAAAATAATGAAGAGCCCAAACCAGTTATGTCTGTAATCATTGAGATGTTTTCATATATCTTTTTATTTCAGAGAGATTTTAGTGTTCACTTTCTTCTAAGTGAAGTCTTTATGTAACCATGAAGTCTAAAACATTTTCTTTAAAAGAGGGACCCAAGAGATTGTCATGAAGTTGCTGGTAAAGGTGAGGTAGGGCAAGGGAGGAGGGAAGTGTCATAGGAATTGTAGTGACATATAGGAACTAGCAACGCTGCAGAGTTCCTCTTCTGTTTTCAGTTGTGATTCTTCCTGGCACAAACCAAACCAGTCAGATCTTTTCTAGTCTAATATCATCCATGAAAAAAAAAGAGCATGTAACTACTTTTGCGCCTTATAAGGGATTTTTTTCAAAGGTTTGTTTTCGTTGTGCAGCAAGGCTGCAATTTCGTTTTTTTTTTCCCTTGGGAATTCTGGCTTTTGAAATGAAAAGTGTTGCTTGGGACACGTTCCATTAGTATCAGAGGCTTCCTGCTCTCAGAACTGGCCTCTATTTTATTGCTAATATCACCTTTAAAATGGGCAAATGAAAAAGCCTTACAGCAAAGCCTTAGGGGCTAACCTGATTTGGTGCAGGAAGGAGAATGAAATTTCTCTTTGTAGAACCTAGAAAGGACATCTTTTCTTATACTGTAGCTAATTTCAGTGGCATGTAGCAACAACAGCCCTGGTTTACCTGAGAAGCAGCTATTACAGATCCCAGCTGACAAAGAGGAGTTCTCTTTTTCCTTTCCTGACTCTTTCGTGTGGGTGATACATCTGGTCTTAGGACAAAAACTGCCACTGGGGTATGTTTTTTCTTTTAAGATGAAAAGGAGAAGGGAGAAGGAGGGAGGATGGGAGAAAAAGAAAGGAAGGGAAAAAAATTAATTGCAGTCATGCATCTTGGCAAACAGTACCTAATGTCTTAGGAAGGCCAAAGAGGTTGCACTGTATCCCTTCACCACTTTGGTCTTGGTTGTTAAGGCAGATGCGAGTGCTGAAAAATGCTACTTATTTTTTTTTTTTTTATTATTCATTGTTCCCTTTGAAGGAGTAAAACATCGATTAAAGAGGCATCTTCCTGACTTTACTGCAAAAAATTGAGAGTACATAATTTTTCTGGAAAGCACTTTTTCATACTTTTCACTAAAATTGTGTCAGTTTCTGTGGTGATGATTTAAGTGCAAATGCTATGGTTGCAATAGGACTGTAGTTCATGATATACTTTGTAGATGCAAACCAGTGGGGGAAAGTGAAGAATGGGGGAAAGAGATTTAAACATCAAATGGATTTTAATGTTTTTCTTCCAAAGAACATGGCCAATCACTACCTGTTATTTGCTCCTGAGTGTGCGCAAGTATTCTGTACACCTTTGAACACATAGGAACAAAGCATTAATTTTCTGTGTTTTCCAGAAAGAATGGATTTTTTTTTGCCTAGATTTTTTTTGACTCCTAGCTAGTCAGTGGTATTCTAGTTAGTCACTGAATAATAGAGTATTATAATAAACAGCAGTGAGCAAAACGTGTTTATTTGATTGACCTAAGCAACTGCCTGTAAGCATCAAAGCTAAAATTTACCTTTAAATAAATGTGTGTCATAATGCACTTCTGGAATAATTTCTGGGCAGAAAAAATCTGTTAGTGGTAAATTTACTGTAGGGGTTCTATTTTGTCTAATGTTGCAAGTGTTATTTCCACCTTTATGCTGGTAATTTGTTAATGGCTGTATGATTCTTTTCTTTTGAGAAATCTAAAACTGCCTGTTCAGTCTTAACAAACCGTTTAGCCAGTTATGTATATTTAGTGAGGGCCACAGAAAGGACAAAATTTCCTGAATATAGCCACAGAGTGCAGGTATTGTACCCTAAATAACGCACCAGTTACTGTAAATGTCAATAGATGGAGATTTTTCTGACTTTGACTTAGTAATATAGCAAAACTATCTCTTAACTCTCTTTGGACTGCTTGGGATTGTGGAGGGGGGAGCATAGTTTCTACTCTTGTCTTTTGACTAAAGAAAGGAAACAATTTTTCAAGAACTTTCAAGATGTGGAACCACAGCTTTAGCTTTATTATATTCTTTGCTTTTCTCCTTTTTTTGTGTTTGTACTGAGTTTTCTAGTTCTTGGTAAGTTCTTCTAAGAAAAATCTGATGCCTGCCTTCCAAGCACATCATGAAAGACTTAGGAAATTTATTTCAAATTAGTTGAGGAGCCCTTCAAGTGTGAGCTTAACGTGAAGACAAAGAGTGTGCATTCATATCTCTGTGTATAAATCATGTTAGTTATTTGTCACACACAGGGACAGAATTAATAAAAATGGATGAAACAAGGATAAACAGAACAAACTAACAGCTGAATCATCTTTCCCAATAGTTGCCATTTAATGCAAAACACAGTTCATTTTGCCCTAATACATGGGTTTTTTTAATGCAATAAAATAGAAGTTACTCTGTAGTGCTTCAGGCAATATTTTTTGGCAATAGCTTTTGAGGGGTTTTGCAAGAAAAAAACATGAATGGTCTTTTGGAAGTGAAAGTCTGCATGCGCAAGTCAAGTTGCTTGGTTGCCAGTGTGCATGTTCAGCTGTGGGCCAGTGTACAATTTAAAAACTGAGGAAAGTTACCAGTATGTAAAGATTGGCAGACATTACACAAGGGAGTCCGGTCTGTACTGACAGGCAGGCATATTATGATCATGTATTTTGAGGCAAGAATGGTTCTAGAAAGGAATTTTTCACAACAGCACTCTTTTCCAGAGAAATAAGTAGGTGTTGACACTAGATCTTTGTGTGTGATCTTTTGCATTAGGGCTAGACATGCTTCCACTTACTCTTTTTCTCCTAATACAGTAAGTATTCTTAAAATTAAATACTTTGAATGTGAAACGATAAGGGAGGGCAGAAAGAAGGAATAAACTGATTTTGGTTTGTTAGTTGTATAACATGGGGAATTGTGTTTTGACTGAAGCAAGATAAATATTTTGTCAACAAAGGCAGATGCATAAGGAGGCTGACTTTGCTGTAAAATTTAGTGGTGTGTATTTTTACTTTTCTGGCTGGGACTATATACAGAGTTCCATTTTTAGCACTGTCACCTTTGGTGTCATTTTGTTTTTTCGTCCCTTTTTAGGTTGTTGAAGCCTATGGCTTAGTGTTTCAAGACTAACTTTTCTCTAAGTGTTCTGAAGTGTTGTTTTTTCAGAGTGGACACATGCATTACAGCAAAAACCATATCAAAAAAGCTTCCAAGAAAAAGGTGTGGAAAGATGAAAGGAGATAATGAAACATTGAAAATACTATGTGCTTCACTACTTCCACGTCAAATAATAAAGGAATTAATTAGAATAAAACCTTCAGTTCTTTTCCTGCTTTTGCGTAGTCACGCTACTTTGTGCACTTTTAAGTCTTACATGCAGAGACTGAAATGTGTCCAGCCCTTCAGATGAAGGGAAGATAAAGGATAGTTTATTTTAGCACAAAATATATTCTGCATTGCACACTCTTACTCCTCCACTTGTCTTTCCTTGTTCTTCATTTTACAGCTTCTGCGATCCCAGATAATGGAAGGAGATCCTGCCTAAAGCTTAAGGTCTTTGTGCGACCAGCAAGTAAGTTCTTCAGATTAAGTTTTTGAGGGTGGCTTTCTAGTGCATGCTTTACTGTGTGGTCTAGTAAACAGCAGTAAATCTTTTTTTTAGCTGTTAAATCTTGTATCTGTTCTTACATACAACAACGTTTGTGTTACGATTTTCATCGTATTTTCTTATTGTTTTTCATAAAGCTTTAGTTACATCGCAGTTGCTAACTTGTTTCTGGAAATGGGTACAGATAGGAGAGTGTACTGGCATTTGGACAAGTGCCACAGATTTTAAAATATGAATATGCTTAATTATATGCAGTAAATAGAGAGAAAAAAATAGAGGAAACAAGGCAAGTGGGGAGTTTAAGGGTGTCTCACTAACATATTTGGCTGTTATCTTTATTTTCGTTATAGACAGCTGTATGAAAACTATAGGTGTTCATGATCGTGTTTTCGATGTTAACGACAAAGTAGAAAATTCATTAGAACCAGCAGGTTAGTATGCTTAGAGAATCTCTTTTAACAAATGCGTGTATCCCTCTGGTGCTTCAGTAGTTTTTTTCCTCTTCTCTCTGCATGCTTTGCATGGTACAACTGCTCTGCTTTTGCGCATTTCCAGCAGTGCTAATGCACTGTATGATATATTTCCTGTATCCTTGTCTAATCAGGGGAAGAAAAATGTTGCTTTATTTGCTTTTTTGGGCAACATGGTTTAATGTAATATGGTGTGTGCCAGTGTAAAATTTTCACCAGTATCCTGAAGTCACTGGCCCATCCAAGCCAAACACCCAGCATGTTGGCAAAACACACTATTTACTAACTGGGTCCAAAATTTTAGAAATAAAAGTCAATGGGCACACCTCATTTATTATGTATGGTTTCAAAAGACCTTCCGAAAAACAGAAGCACTGCTTGTTTAATGCTGGTGCATGACACAAGTATGCAACTAACTGAGTTAGTGTTTATGTAGAAATTAGTCCTTTAAAATTATATATATTCGTGTGTACACATGGTTAGGCAAAGTATCATTTTTACATATGTGTACATACACACACACATGCACACACTGATATATATATATATGTGTGTGTGTATGTATAAAAATTTCTCCCCTGTTTTTATTGAAGCAAACTTAAGTTTGGGGAGGCCTTTTCTGTTTTGTTTTTTTTTGTAAAACATTGCCTTAAGAATAAGGATGCTTGCTATGATGAAACCCCTTATCTACCCAGGGCAAAGTTATATTAATCTCCAACATCAATCAAGCTGACATGTCTCTGTGTAGAAAGTGCATGTGTGTTGTTTGAGTGGCTCAAGTTTATGATAGATAGAGGCATATTTAATTCTAGGTGTATATGTAATCCCAACAACATAAATGAGATGGCTCAAGATATTAAAATTAGGTGGATATGTAGAAGTATTTATAGTAGTGGTTTACCTGTTTGCTTTATATATACCTACACAGTGCCCACACATTGTTTCATTAAAGCCTCAATAATTAAAATACACAGTTAAACAAACAAATTATACCAGAAAATATTGCCCATATGCCATTTAGTACATACCCTGAAGAACAGTTACCAAGATTTTTTTCTCTTATGCTATTTGAAAGGAGACTTCCTCTTTATGTATGAAGCAATGTACTGATTTTTTGCTCTCTGTAATGTGCAGTTCCTTTAATTAAAATTTATTATTTATGCAGAAGAATAAATGAGATTTTCACAAATTATCCAATTTGAATGATATGCCTATGGATAAACAACAGGGTTTATTGTTTTTCTTTGAAATAATTTTCAAGACTCTCCTAAAATTTGGAGGTTTGAGAATCAAAGATGTTTTCTAAGCAAATCTAAATGCAAGGACAGTGCATTTACATTAGATACATTTATACATTTGATAACAACATTCTTGTACAGAAGACATAAGGATGTTCTCTCTCTGTCTCTGTGTTACCTATGAATCTAAAAACTCAATGCACTTTTTTACATTTTGTGATTTGGTAAACATGATCTAATTAATGTGTATTTCTCCTGTTACTGGCTTGCAAAAGAGATCATCTGAGTAATAAATGCCTGATTTTAGTAAACTTGCTGAATATTTATTTTTTTTAGCAGTGCTGCTCACTTCCCATTGAATGACTATAACTAGCTAGCATCCTCACAAAAGCACATCATTAGAAAGCAGCAGGCAAACCAAGGAACCAAAATCAAACAAAGAGCATCCTGCAGTCTGAGATGAAATACTGTTTATGTTACCAGGAGGAAATAATAGCTTTAATGAGAAGGTTTGGTACCAAAAAACTCCCACTGCTGACATCAGTGTGTGTTTGCATTATTAATTGGTGGATCTTGTTGCATGTGTTCTGTGTAATGTACTAATTTGCATGTCTCTGGCGAACATCCTCTGCTTCTATGCTCTCATCTGGCCTGCCATTGTCTTCTTCCACAGTAGACAGAAGAATTGGAAGGCAGGAGGGTCATGTTCAGCAGATTACTTACTGTCGTCTTTCTTTTAAAAATCACCATTTCTGTGATTTTTGAACCCTTGTAATTTCACTGGTTTTGTTCAGAAATTTGTAGGAAGCTGATCTGTAATGATCACACTTCTTTCAGAAGTGACCAAAGTAATTGGCTCTATTCCTGTCCTCCCCTTCTCTTCCTCCTTAATAATAAAAATAAAAAGCCCCTAAACAAAAATTGCAGCTGTGCATATCTGAAAGTTATACCTGAAGGGCGTGTGATACGAGGCTGTGTGATCTGAAAAATTTATGGCTGTAAAAATAATTTTTTTCTATTTATTGGTGGCATTTCCAGTCTTTAGCAGTGACCTTCTGGATTTTACTCAGGAGTTTTTCCTGTTCATTACTTGCCTTTAGTGTTTAAAATGAAGCAAAACCTTTTTCCCAAACCTTAAAGAAAGTGCAATTATACCTCTGCACCTCCAAGGAAAATTGTATATGTAGACTAATATTCGTAACCACAGATGAATTGTGTCTTCTAATAGACAAGTGCAGAAACCTTGCAACAGCACTGACAGAAAACCCAGATGATTTCTCAAAAGGAATCCCTTAATGTTACATGGAAATCAATTCTTCTGTGAAGAATGGCTTTATAAAAATGGCATCATAGAAGATCTCCATATTTTTCATTTAAGCAAAGTAATCTTTTTAGCTTAGTGCTTTTTCATTGAGCTTTTTAGCCGTAGCCAGTGTTCCAGTTGTGGCAGTATCTGATAGTCACAGAGGATGAGGATTTATTAGTGCTTTACACTAGTTGTGGCCTGTTGTGTTTTAGTGCTGAGTCACTGATATAATTAGGACAAAAGTGTTGACATTCAGCGTTGCAAATTCAGACTTATTTGCCATTCTGTTGATGATGCAAGAGATAGAAGGTAATACACATAATTCTCTCTAGTTTTAGTTCATCAGCAGTGAGTAAATGTTTTCAAATTGGGAGGAGCTAACTTTAAATATATGAAAGAAGATAGAACTGACAGTTAAGACAGTCAGTTCTCTGTAAATTTTCTCTGTAAATTCCTAGAGTATATTTTAATTGAGAAGGAAGCGTTTGTGAAGCGCTGTAGTGTCATTGCAGTGTCATCAAAGTAGAAGATTGTAACTCGGAACTGAAATGTGAAACAGCTTTTGGTATTGACAGCCACTGGAATTGTCACTTTTCAGTAGCCAGCATTCACTGAAATTTTTAGATTCCTTTGGAATAATTCTGGAGGAAGAATACTGGAGCCTTGCTCAGTGTGCCTGGGAGGGTCTCCTTGTCATATGTGGTGTGGAGCTGCAGCTAAAGTCATTCCAGCCAGTCTTTCCCACTGACATCAGAGAATCACAGAATGGGTAGGGCTGGAAGGGACCACTGAAGGTCACCTAGTCCAACCTCCATACCCAGGCATGTCCCCTAGAGCATGTTTTCCTGAGGATTTTGTCCAGATGGCTTTTTAGTAGGAGAATCACACCCTCTCTGGGCAATCTGTTCCAGTGCTCAGTCACCCACACAGTAAAGTTCTTCCTCCTATTCTGGTGGAACTTCCTGTGCATCAATTTCTGCCTATTGCCTTCTGTGCTATTGCTTGGCACCACGAAGTAGAGATGATGTCCCTTTCTTACAGACGTGAACTATTTACAGTTGATCAGTGCTTGCTTGTCATACTTTTGCCTTGAGCAGCACTGAAACCTGTTGATAAGCCTTATGTGATTATAGCATCAATTAGTGCTGAAAAAAGTACAGGTGATAAATTGCTAATTCAGTTTACAGTGCATCTTGCTGTGTAACTGAGCTGGGGCTGAAGAGCCTATTAGCCTAAATTATGCTAAGTGCTCTATCTGCTGTTGTGCAGTAGGAAGGGGTGGGAGCTTGTTAGTAGCTAAAGCCAAGTAATATGAAAGGCTCTATGCCAAAGTGGTCTCAGTGAGCCCAGTGTCCTTACTCCTGCTTCCCTTAGTCCTCTAGGTGGACTTGCACAGCTCTCACCCAGTGTAATCCTGACAGTGCAGTTCCTTGAGATAGGAGCTATGAGACAGAAACATCATAGATATGTTGACATCTCTTATAAATAGGGGAGCTTATTACACTTAATTTTGCTGGAAACTTAAAGGACTCTAAAAAACTTACGAATATATTTTGAGTCCACTTCACATTTCCCCAAAAGGTTTAGCTTATTTCTGTCAGAGCTAACTTTTTATGGCAAAACTCAGATTGCTTTTTTAAATAGCCAGATTAGGATATGGGGGATAGGAAGGGCCAAATGTGGATATGGGGGATATGGATGGCTTTGCAGAGAAAAATACCACTGCTGTAACAACACGGAAGCTGAATTTGACTTTACCTACCTTTTTTGTGTTACAATCTATGGCTTTTAGGCTGATCTGTAGTTTATGAAAACTAAACGATGGTTTATTGTGTACCATAAATTTAATATTTGTTACTGTATTCTCTTCTGCCACTAATGCATAAGCATGTTTTCCCAACTCATCTGGTTCTTTTCTCATTAGTTTTAGCAGCACATATGTATTTCTCTATTTTGTGTCCAATAAAAGGGAGTGAGATTTTCCAGATTGAGTGTGTATTCTATAAAATTGGTGATTGTCATGTGTTAGCCTTAAAATTCTGTTTCAAGAAGGGGGGAATGATCTTAGATCTCCTGCACATCCCCAGGTGCAGTATACTTTAGTGGAAATTTTGTGTGAGGAAGGGAATATATGCTTGGGCTTACAGGCTGTCATTTCAAATTCAGGAGCCCGAATCTGTAACTGAGTAAGGGGATTAACTGTGAAATTAATTCTGGGCATGTGCAACACTTGAAAATCACGTGTTTTTATTTAGCTGCCTCCCAACTATTGCTATCTAATGAGCCATCCAAAGCTAGAGCTACAGTCTTTTAGTGGAAGAGGAATCTTTCATTCCTCAATCCGCTGAAATCAGGCTTACTTTCTGCTCCTCTGGTCTTCAATGGGAGTTTTTCGAGTAAGAAATGCAGGACTAGGCCCCAAGTTGATTACATAATGAGATATTACATGCTTGTGAATGTCAATGACAGCACAAGGTTCATTGCCCTATTTCATAAAGGCACTGAAATCTACTTATGGTTGTCGGTTCAGTGAGAGTTTATTAAGGATGCAAAATCTCATTGGAATGTGTGCTTTCTGTTTGAACAGATGATACCGTACATGAGTCAGCCGAGCCATCCCGTGGTGAGAACGCGGCACAGACACCAAGGATACCCAGCTGGCTTTTGGCAACTCTATTGTTCCTCCTGGCAATGCTTTTGATATTATAGCAGAGTATGCTCCGGCAACCTGTCGCAGAAAATATCAGGGTCTTGGAACATCAAAGATCCACCTAACTGCTCATCCCAGGAAAGGGACTTTATTGTTTTTGCAGATGTCAAATTGTTATTTTTCCCTTTTCTTCTCCCTTTTAGCCTGAACTCAGCAAAAATTTGAAGGGGATAACTAGCTTCAGCACCCACCCCTACCTACCCTGTGACTTTCTTAACCCCTCCATATAAATAAAAGGACTCCAAATGAAAATGCCAAACTATAATAGTGACACTAGTGATTCTTATTTTCCTCTGCATTCTCCTTTAAAAAGTCACCTCTGTTAGCTCACTGTGTCATCCGTATGTGGACTAGGAAGAATAGTGGCAGATACAGTCAGTGAGGGATAAGGAAAGTGAGTGAAAACCTGGGAGAGTCTTTCTCTGTGATACAATATTTATGCCTTCTCATTCAGCACTGTAGGATGATCATGCAAGGCATTGTGTCACCATGTCAGGACTGGAGGGGAAATATTAAGAGTAGACATAATATAACACCCTTACCTCCAGGAGTTTCTAAATGAACTGGCTTCTGAAAGGGAAAGATGATGTTTCTTATAGGACTGTCTTGAAATGTCTTTGACAGTAAAATTTGTGCTCACAAGTAGTAATGCTGTCTTTGGTGAGAGGAAGAAGTTTAGTATTTAGGAATGTTAGCATACAACAGGCAAGGTCAGATTTAGGAAACTTCACTGGGGGTGTGAGTGCCTCTGTTATTTCGTTTTAAGGGGATAATGCACACCGGATTATTTTATTTTAAAACAAATCAACCGTGGTGCTACAATTTTTTCTTGAAATGCAGAGGCACTTTTGAGAATAAAGTGACCTTCCCCAGCACTGACTTAGTAGCTGATAGCCTTGGATGCTGCTCTGGGTGTTAATACATGCTAAAAGAGGACATCGGTGGCCAGATGAAACATGTTTGGGACACAGGATCTTCAGTGTGCTCTTGATTTGTCTCTCCTGCAAGTTCCTCAGTCATGGGAATAAACCACATGTAGAAGAAGCCAGGGCACTCTAATAGCATTGTTTGGTGGGGGGAAAGAAAAGAAGTGTGGAATATGAATTCAAGTGTTGATTTTTGTCTTTTCACCTTCCAGCACAGTTTGAAGAGTAGAGGAAACATGTTTATCAACCAGAGATAAACTAGATGGGCTCCCAAAGACTTAACAAAATATTTTTTTAAAAATCCACTAGAATAGAAAATACATTATTTAGATATACTTTATGCTGAGAGTGAGTATATATGCTTGTCCTGTTCAAACATGTGAGAGAAGTGGTAACCCTTGATGCAATTAGCAAATGGGACTGTCTTGTTGATGGAATTAGGTATGACCTTGTTAAGGAATCTGAGCCTTGGCTGACACAAAACTTTAAAAAGTAGTTTGCCAGGAAGTGCAAGCCTTGGAGTGCTTTTTGGCTTGGCTACCATGGAATTTGGATGCTAAGCTTAATCAGTGAAATTTCAGACCCAGACTGAAACAGAGCTTTTCTGACAAAAACTGTGGTAATTACATTAAATGTGAAACAAAACACGGAGTGCATTCAAGCAAAATAAGATTTTTCCATATTAATTATGAAGAAAAAGTCTGCCGTAACAAAATTGAGTGATGCCATTAATGAACAGCACTTCATAGGCTTTGTTTTTTGTTTGTTTTTTTTTTTTTTTAATGCGAAAAGCTTTCCAGGAGTTGAAGCAGGAAAAATAAATTTGAGATTTAAAGGGAGGTTTTATGCATGCTGAGCTATGACCTGGGCTTGCCTGATATCGAACATATTCATTAATGCAGGGCCTGTACTTACAGGAGGAAAGCAGGAAATTTGCTCTAGTATGAAGTGCACAGGATAAAGATACACAGACCAAACAGTGAGGGAAGTCATCATCTCATTACAGGCTGTCTGGTACTTTGCTCTCTTTTGTATATGCTTGGTACACACACTAATACTTCCTGAATGTAGGAATTATAAGGCTTTGGATGAGGTGAGCTTATTCAAAATACACCTTATCAAATGGATTATTAACCAGAGTACAGATAATATTGCATGATGTGTAACCATATTAAAATGATTCATAGCAATTGCAGGCAGTCATACCAGCAGTGCCAATTTAATGTAGGAACAGTGACTTCATTTGTCATCCTTTGTCTCTGAATGATGTTGGAGTTGAAGACATACATTTATCCACAAAGGATTGTCACTAGTGTTACTCCTGGTGAAACTCACCCCTTCATGTTTTCACAGAGCCTTGCTGGGTAGGTGAGGGACAACACAAATGATGTGGCTGCATGGCAGATCCCAGTGCTGCCTGGCATGGCGTGGCTGGGAACAGCGTACCAGACTCTGTCAGACAGTTTGATACTTGATGGCATTAGGCAATCCCAGTCATACCACGATACATAAATGTTGGTGGGCTTTGTATTGCATTGCAAATCTCTAGATGCTTTAAATGCAGATGTTGCTGCAAATTGAGGAGATTTTTGCTTCCTTACCCTTTATCTGCCCCGGCTCAAATCTGAGGTACTGATTCTCCCTCAGCCTAGGTGGGTTACTTATGCCCATGACCTGCAGTCCTGGCTGCCAAGTGCATTGCAATGTGAAGCAGGCAAAATAGGGATCAGTCAGTTTAGTGGATACTGTGTATCCTTCAGTAGACAAGGTAACATTTCGTGTTAGTTTAGAATATTGTTTTGTACTGTACTTACTTGGATGGCGAAGGAAAGACAAGTAAAACTTAAAGCTATGTTCTTTAAATTCTGTATTATTAGCAACCTCTGTTGTATATAGTGTTTGATAATAAAGTATTAATTTGATTCTTATGTCTTTTGTAAGTGAGAACAATAGACTTTCAGGATATAAAAATCACGTGTTGATTACAAGACAGAGCTTTGAAGCATCAAGTGTGATCATGGCTGAGAACTGAGAGACAAGTGGCCATGACACTGCAGCATACAGGACTCATCTTTGAAAATCGTTCATCTGTTGCAAGACTTCACAATGTCAAGACCTGGAACAACATGACTTTTGATGATCAGTGTTTTGTCCTCAGTGTTTAAAGGTCTGATGTTGGAGCCCTGTGGTTTATGTGTTAGTTTTTGTTCTTTTGTATCATGTTTGTTTCTAAAAAGGCTTTGGGGATATAACAACTTTTCTGTTATTTTGTTTGTTTGTTTCTTTTTTATTTGTATTTTTTTCCTCCTGTTTTTCTTCTGGTTTTGTTCCCATGAGTAGTTTTTTCCGGAAGGGATCTTGCCAGTGTCATTTGCGATATGTGTATGTACTTGGTTCCAAAAGAACTAGAAACAAATTTGGGAAGTACTGAGAGTAGTTGAGTAGATTGTTTCCTTTCCTCTGTAACTGTGGAAGGAAAATGGTTGTATTTGTACCCGTTGATTCTCACCCCTAGCCCTCAAAACTGAACTTAATCCGTTGCCTTATGAGTGCAGTGGTTCAGTCACTTTCAGAGGCTTAGAGTGTTAACTCTTCCCCTCTTTTCATTACACTTGGATTTTGTAATCACCAGTTTTAATGTACAACCCTCTACACTTCTCTTCCCTCTTCCTGCCCTTCCTCCTCTCCCACCCTTCTCCTTTTTTAATTTGGAGCTGTGAATGGGCAGATCTGTTTCTGGTCTGGCATCACTGAGTTTTTCCCATGCATTCACCCTCGAGCTTCTCGAATGTGAGACAAATCTCCCTACAATAGGCTTGCTGCCATTGTCTGTACAGTTTAATAGATGCTGGCATGTTGGAGGTTACCCATGAGTCTGCGAAATCCGCTTACCATGCTTACTCTTGACACCCCATTGAAGACACTCATTGTGTATGCATCTGGGTATGAAAGTCCAGCTCAGTGTGGTCCTGTGCTTGTACTGCCCTGCTTTGCAGTTTCTTTGCACTTACTCATTGAGTGCTGTTTTTGAAATGCTTACATTATATAAACTTAAAGGAAAATGTTAAAAAAAAAAAAGGCAACAAAATCCCTGCCCCATAAGATCTGTATTTGTATATACACGTGTCCGTACAACTATACTTAAATAAAATTAAAGATTTTCATCATTTTAGTTGGTTATTTTAGACTACATTTTTGTTTAATTAACTGCATTTTTATTTTGTGGGCTATTTGTACCTAACTTACATAGAATGACAGAATGGTCAGCATTGGAAGGGACCTTCAAAGTTCTTCTAATACAGCCTCCCTGCAATGAGCAGGGACATCTTCCACTAAATCAGGTTGCTCAGAACCCCATCCAACCTGACCTTGAATGTTTCCAGGGAAATGAGTGAGGAGTATGAGTGGGAAAGTGTGAAAAATGCAGTAGGCACAACTGACTAGAGCTGTAGCTACCAATGTCTTGGCCAATCTAAAGCGTGACTTCTCCGCTCTTCACCATTTTTAAATGTGTTCAAAGATCATCCAAATACTTAGGAGGGTAAGGAGCTATGTCAGCCCAAGTGCTGGAGCATTACATGGTCTCCATCATCACTTCTACTCTGCTCTAGGCCTCCCGAGCAATCTTCCTTCCTTCCCTGGGTAAGAGGTTTTTGTATGGTGTAACTCTTACTTATTGAAGAGTAGAGCCAGCCACAGAGCTGGGCAGCTGCACTCAGTCCTCCTCTACCAAGATGCTCCTCAGACTGATGAAGAGATGGGGTTGGAAGTGGCTTTGAAGTATCAGCAGTATTTTTCCTTACTAAAGGGAGGAAGAAGGCTCAGAGCAGTGGGAGCCTCGTGGATGGGAGAATTTGAGCAAGGGTGCCTCCTGAAGGGAAGAGGAAGAAAAGTGGAAGGGAGAAACTGGCTGGCTTTCTTCTCCTTCCTTCCACCTCTGCCCCCAGAGGCTGATGTTGTGCCTCTAAAAATGCACAGGACTGCTTTGGTTGACTTGTATTTATGTCTGAATAGTTGTCTTTGATAGTGCCTGCTCACTAGTCATATGACAGATTTAACCTGAGAATTTAGGTCATAAAAGGTGGGGAGCAAATACCGAAACCTGTAATACATGCACTGTGCATTCAAAGCTGCTTTAATTACACCATGTTAACATTAAACTCACAGAAAGCTTTTTATTATATTTAATTAGTTGACAGGGCAGCAAGTAGTAATTATAACTTACTCTAACCTTCTTTACAAATGAGAAGTGACAGCTTCGTGAGAACTGTGTGTATTTGATACAAAGAATTGTTGCACCAGACATTTTTCCTCTGAAGCTGTGATGTTACAACCAGGGCAGGATTATAAGTGACACATGTTCAGTATGTCTTAACATAATTGCCATGTCCAGAAAATATCCTGCAGTCTGACACACTTAATAGCCTTTGCTCAGAAGACACTCTGCTTTTGCTGAGAATGGTATTTGATTTCATTTTTCTGCGTTAGTGTGCACAATGGGTCTTTGTACTCCCTCTTCTTCCCTTCTGAAGAATACTTCTGCTCACAGAGTACCTCTGAGGGCATTCTTAGGAATATTCAGGCATGCATCATACTGCTATGATATGGTTGTGTGCCAAAGTGGTTTTATTCATTTAAAACAAAGCTTTGATTTATATAGGTTAGAGATGTGGTAACCAACTGGGATGGTTGAATTTTTTACAGGCTTTAACAGCATAGGAGTGAAAAGCGTCTCCTTCCTTATAACTTTTATTTTTGTTAGCATTTACCTTTACTGGGAAGTTTAGTTTAAAACATGATTTAACTTTATACTGCAGGTGTATGTCTAGGAGTCTAGACCAGTCAGTCTTTCGTGTAAATGCTGTACAGACAGCTCTTGTACATGGTCATTTCTGTTTGCTTTGAGCACCATTTCAATTTACTGCCACTAACGGAGCAAGCTGAAATACCACCAATTTAAATTTTTGTTAAAATTTTTGCTTAGACCCACATAGAAGCTTTTAAAGCGAAGTCTCTCTTAGATGTAAAAATAACCTTTAAGGAAAATTCATAAAGAAGCAATATTGCAAAAAATGTGCTGAGGAGTTTTTTTTTGGTTCCCTCCTCCCTAGATAAGTCTGTTAGCTGACTAGTGCTGTCAGTCATATTTAATTTGGAGGAATTCAAACCGCAAGATAACTCTTGCAGCCACTACCACATCTTGAAACACTCATTTTTCCTATGGTAGTCCTTCAAGCAAGTTCTCATGTCATTTGATTACACAAGGAGGAATATAAATATGAGAAACTGCAGGGTGGAAAGCTAGATGTGTATTTGGAGGGAAAGAAGAAGAATTTTCTGGTTTGCTCAGCACTTTATGAAAGCATACACTGCATTCAAGAGTGATTTCCAGATGCCTATCTACCTTGTATCTCTGAAGTAAAGGACTGATGGAAGGTACCTCCTTCTGTATACACAACTTCAAGTGCAACTTAGACACAGCCATCTCTCAGTTCTTAAGTTCAAAGTATGAAGCTGTATTTCATGGGACACACTTGCCCACTTAGCAACATGTACTTTCCAGTACTAATTTTTACATTTAACATTTAAACACACTTCCTTACCCACAGCCAAAGTGCTGTTGGCAATACTGAAGTTTTTGTCTGGGTGGTATTTGTAAAAGGAAAGGTCAAGTAAATTACTAGGATACGGTAGGTGTAATTATCCCTCTGATCCTTGTAGTGCTAAGAACCAGTTGTGCCTTCTGTTCTCATGTACTGTAGCTTGTAGTATCTTAACTAAATGTTTGCCTAATCACTGACCACTAGTCCAAAGAGTTTAGGAGGCCTTTTTTTTTTTTCTCTCCTCACTGTCACTTTACCTATAGTTGAACTAAGGAATAAGAAGTCTAGAAACTGAACACAGTGAAAGCAAAGCATCTTCAGACCTAAAGTGGCAGCCCTGATATGATACTGAAGTTCCAGTCTGTTTATACTTGGGTATTGGGAATAAATGGAGTGTTACATATTGAAAATGACAAGCTGTGATCCTGCAGCAACAATCCTTGCCTGAGGAGGGTCAGAAGAATCAAGCCCTTGGCTGGGTGTGAATACTTCAGTGGAAACTTGGCATGCTGTGCATGACATGGCGCTGCATGTATCCCAGTGCTTCTGTTCACTACAATGAGGGTGGAGAAGGGGTGGGGAAGAAAGAGCTCATTCAATCACAGATGGCTAAGCAGCAGTGGGAAGTACACAGCAGATTTTAAGCCAAGAAAGGGGTTACTGGTGTAAACTGCCTCTGAGTAGAAGATTTGCTTATTTGTGGAAATGCATAAAAACATGAAATGGAAAACCTGAAAAGTGCCTGACTGTGTTCTCTAGAAGGAGTCCTCTGGTCAAGCATGATGCTTGCAGAAGTCAGGGAAAGTTTTGCCATTCAATCAGGCCCACATTGCTCAATTTTGAAAACCCCACTAGCATTTAAAAATACACACCTCACCTTGCTATTCTAAAACAGCAAAAACCTGAAGTCTTGCACTCTGCAAGGTTTCTCCTGAAGTGCTGCGTATTGAGCTGGCAGCTCAGGATTTTGATGTACCAGGCCCACATGAGAAGACTCCCCCCCACTGCTGAGTACCCCATGTAGCAGATGCTTTAATGGTGGTTTTTAAACGTTGTTGTGGGAGTAACATCTTGTTGTTTTATGTCTGCCACCAAAAGGTCCTGAAGCTGGATCAGGAGTGCAGAATGTAGATAAACTGACTTTCACAGAGCAGGATACAGCTACATTTTGATTTAGCATAGCTGCAGAGAGAAGAATGGCAGTTCTGCCTTAAAAAAGGATTGAACAAGAGTGTGGACCATGCAGGATGTTAATGGTTAGACATTAAATGTGCAGCAAAGCCAGATGAACCCATGCAGTGATGCTTATCACGCCTTCTACATTAGTTTTACAATATCCTGGTTCTTGCACATAATTGCATTACAAAAAGCCTTGCATTCCCCTTGACACAGAAGTCAAAGCAAGTGTGCATATCATCCTTCCTGGTGAATATGTGCCTCTTTTGTGGTTGTTTATTTGATTAGTTATTCTGCATTTATTTGCAGGTAAAAAAGAAAGGAAAACCCATGCACACTTCCTATGCTCTAGTCTCATTGGCCAGATTTCCTCAAAACTCTTGTACTCCAGAGAAGTTTTGCCAAGCGGCTAAACGGAATGCACACATTATGAATATTTATGCTGCTTTAATGATTGGATTTTTGGATCCATGAATAATAAAGGTTTAACAAGAACAGATAACAAGATTGGCACAAACCAGTGAAGTGGTTAATACATCAACCTCTCCATGCAGGACTTTACTGAGAGCAGAAGATGTTGCAATCTCCCTCCCCTTCCTTTTCCTCTAGCAGCAAAATTAGTCTGATGGGACATGCAGATTTTTCAGATAGCTCTGCAGAAAGCAGGTGTTTTATCTATAGTCTGTTCTACAGCCACCTCTTGCAGGCTTACTTTGAGGAAGCTCAAGGTTTCTGACTGAAAAGGGACCTTCAACTTTTGAACACGATTTTTATTTCAGATACTTTCCAGCAGCATTTGCATTTGAATTTGAAGCTGCCACTTTGCTTGGTCTTTTCAGGAGCAAATGGCTGACACGAGTTTACAACATACAGAGGTTTAGGGGCCAGCAAGTCAAAGCAGCACGGTTTGCATGAGCTGAGGCAGGAAAGGGTAATCCACTCTACTCCCTGCTTCAGCTGAACGATGCTGAAGCGTTAAGGTCTGTCTTTAGTGAGGAACTGCAAGGTCCTGAAGACAACAGCACTCATTTTACTTGTCTATGGCCACAGCTGCTCAAAACCTCATCTCTTTAGTGTTAAAGTGATATGCTCTAAATTCATTATAACTGTGCTTGGAGGGGACACAACATTTTACCCTCCGATGAATTTTGGAGCAAGTGTTTAATTACATGTTTACTATACGCAGGTGTGCTGGACCTGTAGGAGCAGGTGTCAGGCAATGCCCATGTATATAAGCCATGTCTAACAAGCAAACAAACACTCATCCACTTAAAGGATATGCTTACCCTCACTCTCTTGGCCAGTGTCTCCCTACACTGTCCTGTTGACAGTCTGCTTTGCTGTGATCCCAGCTCAGTTCAGGTGTTGGTTTGGATCCTGGGTAACT